AGGACGTTGTCCAGGAGACACCCAGATGTTTTGATGTTTTACCATCATTGTGGGAGGCTTCTCTCATGTCCCTGCATGGAGAGCTGGAGCTGACAGAGGGAACTCATCCACACTTTTACCAGATTCAAACCTCTGATCTGTCAGTATTTAGTCTTGCAGGCACAATGGTTTAACCCATTATGCCACTGGGGGCTCCAACCTTTCTGATTCTGCAACCCCTTAATACAATTCCTCTAAATTTAAATTCACTTCTTTTTTTAGTAGCATCCAATCCTTAATCCATGAAAGGGCACAAGCGTCATGATATGTCTTTAAGTCCAGAAATCCCAGTCCTCCTCTTGATTTCTTGTCTATTAAATTTGTATAGTTTATTCTAGGTCTTTTTTCCTTCCCAAACAAATTTTAACAAATTTTTATTCCATTTTTTGAATATCTTTAAGTTATTGATTACTGGTAAATTTTGGAATAAAAATATTAATTTTGGCAGGATTTTCATTTTTATAATGGATATACGGCCTAATAAATTTCAAATTTTTCCACTTCTGTAAATCCTTTTGTATTTTCTCCCAAGACTTTTCGTAGTTATTTTTTAACAATTGTCCATTTTTGGCCGTTATTAATATACCTAGATATTTTAATTTTTTTTTTACAATCTCAAGTCCTATTAATGCAGTAATTTTTTCTTGTTTCTTCTTCTCAATATTCTTTGTTAATATCTTGGTTTTTACCATATTCATCTTAAAGCCTGCCACTTTCCCAAAATCTTTTATTTTTTGGATCCAGTTTGGTAAATTGTTAGGTGGATCTTCCACAATACCTAATACGTCATTGGCAAAGGCCCATACTTTATATTCATATTTACCAATTTTAGCACCTATAATATTTTGGTCTTCTCTAATATCTTTCAATAGTGTTTCTAATGCCATTATAAATATTAATGGAGAAAGGGGGCAACCCTGACATGTTCCTTTTGTTATTTCAAATTCTTCTGTTGATTGGCCATTTATCAACAATTGGGCTTTTTGTGAATTATAGATGTCATTTATTGCGTTACCAAATTTCTCTCCCATGTTCAATTCACATATCAGTGATTTTAAAAAATCCCAATTTAAATTGTCGAAGGCCTTTTCCGCATCCAATGCTAGGATAGCTAATTCTTTCTGATGATGGATCTCATTATATTCCATAAGATCCAGCACTGTCCAGTTCCTCATGTTGTGGTGACCCCCAACCATAAAATTATTTTTGTTGCTATTTCATAACTGTCATTTTGCTATATTCATGAATTGTCATGTAAATATCTCATATGCAGGATGTTTTTTCATTCACTGGAGCACATTTGGCACAAATACCCGATGGGCCCACATTTGAATACTGGTGGGGTTGGGGGGAGGGTTTGATTTTGTCATTTGGGAGTTGTAGTTGTTGGGATTTATAGTTCACCTACAATCAAAGAGCATTCTGAACTCCACCAACCATGGAATTGAATCAATCTTGGCACACAGAACTCTCACGACCAATAGAAAATACTGGAAGGGTTTGGTGGGCATTGACCTTGAGTTTTGGAGCACTGTGGACTCAAACAATGGTAGATCTGAACCAAATCTCAATATGCCCAAATGTGAATACTGATGGAGTTTGGGGAAAATATACCTTGACATTTGGGAGTTGTAGTTGCTGGGATTTGTGGTTAACCTCAAAGAGCATTCCGAACCCCAACAACAATAGAATTGGGCCAAACATCCCACACAGAACTCCTATGACTTGGAGGGACTCACTGCCATGAGCCTCCTTCCAGCCTTGCATGCTCTCCCTCATCCCGCAGATGTGCACCATGCACCAAGCACGCCTACTCTCCCCTTCCAGCTTAGAGTCTCAGAAAGAGCCCTCCCCTTGACTGAGAAACTGGCCAATCACAGCAGAGGAGGGCATTTGATGGTAGGATTTGCCGTCTGTTTCCAAAAAGGAAGAGAAGGACAGGAAGAGAGATCTTCCACCTTCTCTGCCAAAGAAGTTCTGAAGACCATCAGGAATATATGTTTCTGATTATCTTTGGTGACCCCTCTGAAACCCCCCTCAAATCCCGACCCCCAGGTTGAGAAACACTGATTTAGATAAAGGTTTGTGGACATAATCTGAAAAGCCGTGAGATGGAGCCATGGAAGTGGTCATTTAAACATGTGTTCATCTATGTGCTATGTTCCTTTGACCATGTGTTGGCTTTTTTAGCTGCCGCATCACATTGTTTGTTCATGTTCAGCTTGTGATCTTCTAAAATTCCCTTTCACTTGTACTGTTTCCAAGCCAAATATCACCCATCTGTATCCATGCATTTTCTATTTTCCCCCTGCCTAATTGTCGTACTGTACAAAGGGGAAAGAGTGTGAAACCAAAGCAACTCAATGAAGGAGAAGCTCCAGCTCTTCCATGGGCCTCTGTGGATGGAATTGCAGAGGGAGGAAGCTCCACAGTGTCATGAATTGTTAGGGAATACATTTGTCAGCAACGGGGAAGAAAGAGTTGCCATAACATAGATGGAGGAAAAGGCTTTGATTTATTGATGGGGTTTGTCCCTCTGGCTTTGACAATGCTCACGGTGCAGAGAGAGAAGAGTGGCAGCATTGGGGACAAATTAGCCACGGTTAATTATTCATTGTGCTACCTGCCTGCTCCATGCTCCTGAATCCTCAACCAGGACCAAAGACCTGGCCAGGCGGAGAGCTTGACCCATTTTGTGTCATCCACACCAAAGCAAGCAAGACCTCTGTGTTTTCTTTCTATTTCCCTTCTGATGGAAAGTGGCTGTTTCTTGTGGCTTGGATCTAATGTGAGCTTTGGTTTTATGATCCATTCACACTTCCTTCCCAACGCATCCCAACTCTGCTTTTACTCAGCCCAAAAACACACTGAGCTGCTGAACTTGTTGACCAAAAGGTCGCAGGTTTGAATCCAGGGAATGGCGTGAGCTTCCGATGTCAGCCCCAGCTTCTGCCAATCTAGCAGTTCGAAAACATGCAAATGTGAGCAGGAAGGTAATGGCACTCCATGCAGTCATGCCGACCACATGACCTTGGAGGTGTCTACGGACAACGCCGACTCTTCGGCTTAGAAATGGAGATGAGCACCAACCCCCAGTTGGACACAACTGGACTTAATTTCAGGGGGAAACTTGTACCTTTACCTTACTTAGTTGGAGAGGACCTTCTAGTCGAAGAGGATCTTCTGTTAATTGGAGAGAATCTTCTAGTTCACTGTTTCGCAACCTGGGGGTCGGGACCCCTGTGGGGGTCGCGAGGGGGTGTCAGAGGGGTCGCCACAGACCATCAGAAAACAGTATTTTCTGTTGGTCATAGGGGTTCTGTGTGGGAAGTTTGGTCCAGTTCTATCATTGGTGGGGTTCAGAATGCTATTTCATTGTGGGTGAACTATAAATCCCAACAACTACAACTCCCAAATGGCAAGGTCTATTTTCTCCAAACTCTACCAGTGTTCACATTTGGGCATATTGAGTATTTGTGCCAAGTTTGATCCAGATCCATCATTGCTTGAGTCCACAGTGTTCTCTGGATGTAGGTGAACTACAACTCCAAAAACTCAAGGTCAATGTCCACCAGACCTTCCCAGTATTTTCTCTTGGTCATGGGAATTCTGTGTGCCATGTTTGATTCAATTCCATCATTGATGGAGTTCAGAAGGCTCTTTGATTTAAGGTGAACTATAAATCCCAGCAACTCCAGCATTACCAAATGACAAAATCAATCACCCCCAACCCCACCAGTATTCAAATTTTGGGCGTATCGGGTATTTGTGCCAAATTTGGTCCAGTGACTGAAAATACATCCTGCATATCAGATATTTACATTACAATTCATAACAGTAGCAAAATTACAGTTATGAAGTAGCAACGAAAATAATGTTATGGTTGGGGGTCACCACAACATGAGGACCTGTATGAAGGGGTCGCGGCATTAGGAAGGTTGAGAACCACTGTTCTAGTTAGAGAGAATCGTCATCTCTTAGTTGGAGAGGATCTTCTCTTAGGTGGGTCTTTTTCTCTTGATTGAAGAAGATCATCTTCTAGTTGGAGAAGATCTAGTGGGAGAAAATCTTCTCTAAGTTGGAGAGGATCTTCTTCTCTTAGCTGAAGAGGGTCTTCATCTCTTAGCTGGAGAGGATCTTCTAGTTGAAGAGAGTTTTTTCTTAGTTGGGTTTTTTTCCTCTTAATTGGAGAATATCTTCTTCTAGTTGGAGAGGATCATCTTCTCTTTATTAGAGAGGATCTTCTAGTTGGAGAAAATCTTCTCTTAGTTGGAGAGGATCATCTAGTTGGAGAGGATCTTCTCTTAGTTGGGTCTTTTTCTCTTAATTGGACAATATCTTCTTCTAGTTGGAGAGGATCTTCTTCTCTTAATTGGAGGGAATCTTCTAGTTAGAGCAAATCTTCAATTCTTAGTTGGAGAGGATCTTCTTCCCTTAGTTGGAGAGAGTCTTCTTCTCTTAGTTGGAGAGAATCTTCTTCTAGTTGGAAAGGGTCTTCTTCTCTTTGTTGGAGAGGATCTTCTAGTTGGAGAAGATCTTCTCTTAGTTGGGTCTTTTTCCTCTTAATTGGAGAGGATAATCTTCCCTTAGTTGGAGAGGATCTCTTAGTTGGGTCTTTTCTTAGTTGAAGACGGTCTTCTGGTTGGAGAAGATCACCTTCTCTTAGTCGGATTTGCTTCTCTTAGTTGAAGAGGACTTTCTTCTCTTAGTTGGATTGTCTTCTCTTAGTTGCTTGAAGTTACATCAAGTTGATGTGTACAGATGTGCAGAATGCCATAATAAGGCAAGAGGTCCTGGCATCCTTGTAGCCTGAATACACTGAATGTTTTGGGACAGATAAGACAAGCAGGCTGTTTTCCTCCAGCTCAGTCCACCTTTAACTAGGCATGGACCCAAGGTTGTGGGCAATACCAGCTGGAGTCATTCCTCAACACCTTTCTTCTTCTGCTTCCCCTTCTCAGGTTTGGGAGACATTCCTGAACCCCCAAACCCACCGGGTCAACATCTTCATGGCCGTGCCGACCATTTACGCCAAACTGACCGAGTATTATAGCCAGCACTATACACAGCCTCATGTCCAGGATTTCATCCGTGCTGTTTGCCAGAATAACATTCGGTAAGTGAGCCCCACTTTGTTTTCAAGATGAAGCTGTGATTCCCACTCTGTTTCCTAATGGACTGTATTATAAGTTTCATACTTTCTGTTCCCTGTCATATGCCTTTAAGAACAGTGTTGAAAATTGGAAAAATAAAACCCAAACCATAGATGGAACACTGCTGGATTACCTCTGATCCCGTTAAAGCAACTGAAGTCTTTTCACCAAGGCTCTACACTGTAAAATAAATGCAGGTTGACACTGTTAACTGCCATGGTTTAATGCTATGGGATCCTGGAATTTGTAGTTTGGTGAGGCACAAGCCCACTTTGGCAGAGAAGTCTAAAAAAACCTGCAGATTACAACTTTAGTGATTCCACAATGTGCAAAATTTGTAAAACAGCAACTCCTAGCATCCCATATCATTGAGCCAGGGCAGTTAAAGTGAGGTCAAAATGCATTCATTCTACAGTGGAGATGCATCCCTAATCGGTACAAGTGGAGGCCACAGACCCAAAAAGCCGCCCCTGCAGAGGACAGTTTCCTAAAGCCTTGTAAATCCTATGGATTTAAGAAGATGTAGAAAAACCCTAAAGGTGAATTTTGATCCCTGGCTTTGCTTGGCGCTTGCAGGTTGATGGTCTCTGGGTCTGCGGCCCTCCCTGTTCCTGTCCTTGAGAAATGGAAGAGCATCACGGGGCACACGCTGCTGGAGAGATACGGCATGACGGAGGTCGGGATGGCCCTTTCCAACCCTCTGCGTGGCCCTCGGGTTCCAGGTGAGAGTTCATCCTTGGAGTTTGCTGGAATGCTTTGGATGCTGCTTGGAGCTTTTTTCTACCACCATGATATAAGTAGATGCAATCATGTCTGTGCCATAAAAGATATTAAGCGTGCGTAACAGCAAAATCCCCCCTCCTCAACTAAATAGCAAAAAGAGTTGTTATGCTTCTTTACTAGCCTTTCGTCACCTGGTCTCTGTCTCCTATATTTATTTGTATCCTGCCTTTTTCTCAGGAATGGGATGCAGGCAGCTCACATAAAACCAGTTGCTCATTTAAATTATACACATGTATCTCCATGCATGGATGAAAAACATATAAATATGTATATGCTTGTACTTTTAATACACACATACATACACACACGTAAATGTGTGTATGCATGGAAATTAAAAGCATATATCTATATGTATCTATATCTATCTAGTGGGTTAAAGCGCTGGGCTGCTGAGCTTGTTGACTGAAAGGTTGCAGGTTTGAATCTGGGGAGTGGTATGAGTTTAATAATAATAATAATAACACTTTATTTGTACCCCTCTACCATCTCCCCAAGGGACTCGGTGCAGCTTACATGAGGCCGAGCCCAAATACAACAATACAAGCAATAATAACAACAATACAAGCAATTAAAAATAAAACATGGACAATAAAATAATGAACATTAACACTAAGACAACACACAATTAAAACTGTGGGAAGGCCAAATGTAAAATTAAAATTGAAAATAATGCTGTAACAAGGGTGAAAAAGTGATGGGGCGTTTGTGGAAACATACAAGCAGACCTAAAAAATGTAAAGTGCTTTGGAGGACAAAGTGCTATGGAATCATTATTCTGGGAAGGCACACTGGAACAACCACGTCTTCAAGCTCRTCCTAAAGAGTTTCRGCTGTCAGCCCCAGATTCTGCCAATCTAGCAGTTRGAAAACATGCAAATGTGAGTAGATCAATAGGTACCGCCCTGGCGGGAAGGTAAGGGCGCTCCATGCAGTCATGCCYGCCACATGGCCTTGGAGTTGTTTACGGACAACACTGGCTCTTCGGTTAAGAAATGGAGATGAGCACCACACCCCAGAGTCGGACATGACTGGACTTCATGTCAGGGAAAAACCTTTACCTTTACCTATCTGTCTGTCTGTCTGTCTGTCTGTCTGTCTGTCTGTCTGTTTATCTATCTGTATATATATCCAGTGTTGACCGGGTGTTGACCACTGCACCCCTGCTTTCACTCCTTTTTTCTCTTTCTTTCTATCTCTTCTCTCATACCTTTCCCCCTTTCCTTTCCCCTTCCTTTTCTTCAGCTCCTTCCCTTCCCCCCCTTTCTTCCCCCTCTTCTTTTTTTCTTCCCTTCCCTTCTATTTCTAATTCCTTCCTTCCTCTCTTTCCCTCATCCACATGTCACTTTTTTCCTGGTGATATCACAGAGGGCCATTTTACCTAGGAACAGCCAATCCGGTAACATCACCAAAGCCACTCCACCCAACAATAACTTTTGTGGTGCAGACAACATACATACATACTTTGACTTTTATATACTCAAACTGGTTCAAGACTGGGAAAGGAATATGACAGGGCTGTGTATGCAGAACACATCATACGACGTGTGGGGCTTGAGGAATCAAAAGCTGGAGTTAAAATGGCTGGATGGAAGAAACATTAACAACCTTAGATATTCAGATGATACCACTTGGATGGCCAAAAGGGAGGAGGAGCTGAGGAGCCTGATAAGCAAGGTGAAAGAAGAAAGCTGGGTTGCAGTTAAGCATCAAAAAAACCAAGATGTTGGCAACCAGACTGATTGAGAACTGGCAAATAGAGGGAGAAAACGTGGAGGCAGTGACAGACTTTGTGTTTCTAGGCGCAAAGATGACTGCAGCCAGGAGATCAGAAGGCATTTCCTTCTTGGGAGTAGAGCAATGACCAATCTCGATAAAATAGTGAAGAGTAGAGACATCACACTGGCAATGAAGATCCGCATAGTCAAAGCAATGGTATTCTCTGTAGTAACCTATGAATGCGAGAGCTGGACCATAAGGAAGGCTGAGCGAAGGAAGCAAACTTTTGAACTTTAGTGCTGGAGGAAAATTCTGAAAGCACGTTGGACCACAAGAACATCCAACTAGTCCACCCTCCAGGAAATTAAACCTGACTGCTCACTGGAGGGAAGAGCATTAGAGGCCAAGATGAAGTCCTTTGGCCAAATCATGAGAAGACAGGAAAGCTTAGAGAAGAGAATAATGCTGGGGAAAATGGAAGGAAAAAGGAAGAGGGCCCGACCAAGGGCAAGGTGGATGGATGGGATTCTTGAAGGGACTGGCTTGACCTTGAAGGAGCTGGAGATGGCTACAGCTAAAGGTCACAAATAGTCGGAATTGACAGAACGAATAAACAACAACAGTCGGATCTATTTAAATGGTCTATATACACTACCCCTATTTTCATTGAGACATGCCTTCACATCAGTTCTGACTTATGGCTAAATTCTAGACTTTGTTTGGCATGATTTGTTCACAAGGTTTTGTCTTTGCCTTCCCCTGCGGCTGAGAGAGAGTGACTTCTCCAAGGCCATACAGTGGCATTCCATAGCTGAGTAGAGATACGAATCCTTGTCGCCAGGGTCCAACACTGCATCATACCTGTGGAGTAGAATAGGCCAAGCGGTACGAGAAAAAGCCAGCCAGAGCTAGGTTTCCTTAGAAAGAGAGACCTCATCTTGGGGCTCCGAGGCAACCGCTTCAGCATCACCATCAAAGTGCTGGGCCGCCAAAGCGTTCTTCCCATTACTCTCATGTTCAGCAGGAAGGCGCATGCCAAAAGTCTCCCTGGGGGATGCGAAAGATGAAAAAGAAGCAAGATGCTGAGGTTGACACAACCCAGACAAAAGGGAATAATTAGAACAACTGAAGGCTTCAGGGCTGGACAGCTGGCACCGCGAGGTGCGGAGTTCGCAGGCAGAACCAGAAAGCAGCCGATGCTGAATCCACACCATTTCCACTCCACATCCCCTTCCCGCATGTGGATGTTCATGTTATTGCCAGTCATCAGTGGTGTTAATAATAATGCAGTTGTCACTGCCAGTTTGTACTGCATCCAGGTTCACTCAAATCCCAGCACATACTGCGTCGGTAGGCTTAAACATCTGAGATTCTCTTCCATTCTTTTGTGGATGGCCGACGGTGACCCCATTTCACCCATTTTAGGTTATATGTAGTTTTCAAAAAGCTGGATTGCTGTGAGTTTTCCAGGCTGTCTGGCCATGTTCCAGAAGCATTCCCTCCTGACGTTTCACCCACATCTATGGCAGGCATCCTCAAAGATTGTGAGGTTTGTTGGAAACTAGGCAAGTGAGGTTTATATACCTGTGGAATAATGTCCAGGGTGGGAGAAAAAACTCTTGTCTGTTTGAGGCAAGTGTGAATTTGCAGTTGGCCACCTTAATTAGCATTTAATAGCCTTGCAACTTCATAGCCTAGCTGATTGCTGCCTGGGGAATCCTTTGTTTGGAAGTGTTAGCTGGCCCTGATTTTTCCTTGTCTGGAATTCTCCTGTTTTTGAATGTTGTTCTTTGTTTACTGTCCTGATTTTGGAGTTCTTTAATACTGATAGCCAGATTTTGTTCGTTTCCATAGTTTCCTCCTTTCTGTTGAAATTGTCCACATACTTATTTACTGTATTTACTTCTCAGGTGACTCAGGGTGGTTTACAAAACCGGCACAATTCGACGCCACAATAATATAAACAGTTAAAAGCATATAAATATCCTTAAAATTCCATAAACAGTAAAATCAATAAAACATAAAACATAAATCCTCCGTATCTAATTTCCAGAATCTTTATCCGATTGCAGTTGTCCAGCCATTCCGAGGTCAAGTAATTATTTACTACATTGCATTACTTCTTGTGGATTTCAATGGCTTCTCTGCTTCTCTGTTGGTTCATTGGGTGCTCTCCTATGGCTGACTTCTCAGGTTGGATTAGTCTACATGCCTTTCCTGTTCCTTGATTCATGCCGGGGAAATGTTGCTGCGTTTGGTGGTCCCTATGTAGACTTGTCCACAGCTGCATGGTATACAGTAGACTCCTGCAGAGATCCGAGGATACTTCTTGCCCTTTACTGAACATAGTATTTGTTGGATTTTCTTAGTGGGTCTGTAGATAGTTTGTAGGTTGTGTTTCTTCATCAGCTTCCTTATGCGGCCAGTGGTTCTAACAACTACCTTCTGCAAAGGTTTTTATTTTTTAAAATAATTTTATTGTGTTTATATTCATTTTATTACAAAAAATTCTGTACGGTTCATATAATTACTTCTCCATTCCCCAGTTCTGCTACCCCATGTGCTCCCCTCCTTCGGAGTTCTTCTTTTCATTATCAGATTCTTTTCATTTTCCTTCTATTCATCTTTATTATAAATAGATAACAGTGTTATTGCACGTAATGTTTCCTTTTTTCCTCTCATTTTTCTCATTTTTCATTTTTCTTTTTCTTTTCCATCTTGGCTTTTTCCCGGAAGCCTGAAACCATTAGTCTCTTTTCATTATACACATCTCACAACAAAACAGGCATTGATACACGAATGTAGTCGCCGGATTTATAATGCAAAGGTGTTTAGAGTGGCTTGTAGGTCTTCTTCTGAATGTGCACAGACTACGATATCATCAGCATATTGGAGTTCTATAACAGAGCTTGGTGTGACCTTGGTTTTGGCTTTCAGTCTGCTGAGGTTAAATAGCTTGCCATCTGTTTGATAGGCGATCTTCATTCTGGTGGGAAGCTTCCCATCAGCAAGGAAAATAAGGTTGGGCAATAACACATCCCTGTTTGACACCTGATTCCACCTTAAATGGATCACTTTGGGAGCCATTGCTCCCAAAGGTATAGATAGGTATATATAGGTATAGATAGATATGGGCCTACGGATGTGAGAGCTGGACCATAGGGAAGGTTGAGCGAAGGAAGATAGATGCTTTTGAACTGTGGTGCTGGAGGACAGTTCTGAG